GGTGTGCGCAAGCGTGCGGTTTGTAGGGGGGGGGGGCTGTCAGTGTATCACAGGGAACCCCCATATGTACTATATACAGGGAACCCCCATATGTACTATAGATGGGGGAGGAGGTCTACTATGTACATACAGGGAGTATATAGTCTATGGGGGTGCTCTATCATGGACTGGGGACCCCCCCCTGTGTACTGTAGATGGGGGAGGGCAGACTCCTGATATAGTGTGACCCCCCTCCCCCCCTGTGTCCTGTGTTCTGGGTATAATGTGTCATCTGTACACACACCGCTCATACCGCCGACTGACACCAGACTGTATGGGGGGGGGAGGGGGTCTGCAAGTACAGTGTGTGACTGACAGATGTCTGTAGAGAGAAGAGGTCATCTGTCACCTCTCTGATCTTTCTGCCTGTCATCTGTCACCTCTCTGATCTTTCTGCCTGTCATCTGTCACCTCTCTGATCTTTCTGCCTGTCATCTGTCACCTCTCTGATCTTTCTGCCTGTCATCTGTCACCTCTCTGATCTTTCTGCCTGTCATCTGTCACCTCTCTGATCTTTCTGCCTGTCATCTGTCACCTCTCTGATCTTTCTGCCTGTCATCTGTCACCTCTCTGATCTTTCTGCCTGTCATCTGTCACCTCTCTGATCTTTCTGCCTGTCATCTGTCACCTCTCTGATCTTTCTGCCCGTCATCTGTCACCTCTCTGATCTGTCTGCCCGTCATCTGTCACCTCTCTGATCTGTCTGCCCGTCATCTGTCACCTCTCTGATCTGTCTGCCCGTCATCTGTCACCTCTCTGATCTGTCTGCCTGTCATCTGTCACCTCTCTGATCTGTCTGCCTGTCATCTGTCACCTCTCTGATCTGTCTGCCCGTCATCTGTCACCTCTCTGATCTGTCTGCCCGTCACCTGTCACCTCTCTGATCTGTCTGCCCGTCACCTGTCACCTCTCTGATCTGTCTGCCCGTCACCTCTCTGATCTGTCTGCCCGTCATCTGTCATCTCTCTGATCTGTCTGCCCGTCATCTGTCATCTCTCTGATCTGTCTGCCCGTAACCTGTCACCTCTCTGATCTGTCTGCCCATCATCTGTCACCTCTCTGATCTGTCTGCCCGTCACCTGTCACCTCTCTGATCTGTCTGCCCGTCACCTGTCACCTCTCTGATCTGTCTGCCCGTCACCTGTCACCTCTCTGATCTGTCTGCCCGTCACCTGTCACCTCTCTGATCTGTCTGCCCGTCACCTCTCTGATCTGTCTGCCCGTCATCTGTCATCTCTCTGATCTGTCTGCCCGTCATCTGTCATCTCTCTGATCTGTCTGCCCGTAACCTGTCACCTCTCTGATCTGTCTGCCCATCATCTGTCACCTCTCTGATCTGTCTGCCCGTCACCTGTCACCTCTCTGATCTGTCTGCCCGTCACCTGTCACCTCTCTGATCTGTCTGCCCGTCACCTGTCACCTCTCTGATCTGTCTGCCCGTCATCTGTCACCTCTCTGATCTGTCTGCCCGTCATCTCTCTGATCTGTCTGCCCGTCATCTGTCATATCTCTGATCTGTCTGCCCGTCATCTGTCATCTCTCTGATCTGGCTGCCCGTCATCTGTCACCTCTCTGATCTGTCTGCCCGTCATCTGTCACCTCTCTGATCTGTCTGCCCGTCACCTCTCTGATCTGTCTGCCCGTCATCTGTCACCTCTCTGATCTGTCTGCCCGTCACCTGTCGCCTCTCTGATCTGCCCGTCATCTGTCACCTCTCTGATCTGTCTTCCCGTCACCTCTCTGGTCTGCCTGTAAGTCTCTGCACAGAGGAGCTCACACTCTAATGCCCGCGGTGCTGTACAGAGGACGCTGGCTCAGCTTCTATATGTCGGTTTCTCACGCAGGTATTGTGGGCGGAGCGCAGGCCGGGACTCGCCATCATGGACGACATCTTCACGCAGTGCCGGGAAGGGAACGCGGTGGCGGTGCGGTTGTGGTTGGATAACACGGAGAATGACTTGAACCAGGGGTGAGCGACTCCTCGGCCGGGGGACGTTGTGTGTGTG